AAAGCAAGGAGATCAATAATCTGAGCAACTCTTGGAATGACTTGTCTCAAAAATATGAGACGTATTTGTTTATTGATCTGGACTTGTATGTAATGTCAGAACCACAGACAAATTATTTTTGTATATATTCTATTATATTTAATAGATAGATAAAAGTTCAAAAGACTTCAATTTATTGGCTGGTGTGTTTTTAGGCATTAATGATCTGTGTTTTATCACATTATAATTTTGTTTGTTTCTTAGTTAATCAGCACTTATGTTATGGCCTCTGCTCATTACTTCAGATAAACAATGGATAATTCTTGTTTGAATGTGAGGATAGACAGACGAAATGATATATCAAAGGCACTATAAGGTTTAAAGAAAGGAAGAAAGAAATTAAAAAGAAAAAAAGAATGAAATAAATAAAGGAAGGAAGGAAAGAAAGATGGAAGGAAAGAGCAGGTAGGTGAATGAAAGAATGAACAAAAGGAAGAATATATGAAAAAGAATTAAAAGAAAGGGAAGATAGAGGAGGTGATAGCATTAATGCCTTTAACATCTTTAGTGAAATGGAAAAACTTGTCAATTTCAAATCTTTTCATTTGTACCTTCTTAATAATGACCGTAATTTATACTTATAATTGTTAAGCTCAAATATCTGATAATGCAACAGGGGAATTTCCACAGATATGGTATTGTCATGGAACCTGCCATGAGCTTATTCAATCATGAATCTTAATTCTTAAGATTCATCAGAAAATTAAAATAGGAAAATGATGAAATTTTCATGGGTCTTTTTAGTTATTGTAATTATTATTCTATCATTTTATATATATATATATATATATATATATATATAGTTTTGAAATCAGTTACTCATATATATGAACATTTGAAAAATTCTTTAAGAATGTAGAAATTTCAAAATTTTAATAAATTTGCTTACATTAGGCTGTTTGTGAAGCAGAAATTAGAAGCCTTTATTTTTCACTTCATTCAGAAATATCCTATTTGACTGGATTGTCACATCTAATATATCAATGTCTTCTTTTTAAAAAATGCAATTCAAATGCAAAACAGATTTGTGCAATTTATGGAGAAGGTCATGTGCCTGATCAAACATATCAAAAGTGGTTTTTGAAGTTTCAGGCTGCAGATTTCACTGGAAAGTTTGAATAAGTTTGGTGAGCAGATACATCCTTGTCTTACACCCATTTACAAAGATAAATTTATTAAAAATAACTAACTGATACAAGATAATGTCTAGCATGGCCAATAGAAGAAGAACAATCTATCACCATGGACTGAATAAAGGGATCAGATTTAAATTCCCAGAATTCTACCATTTAAGATATCAAGTTGAAGAAGGCTAAGAGGCACAATGACAGAAATGTTGTGAGTTTTACAATTAAGTAGTTCAAGCAAATTAGTGGGTCATCACATCATTAATCTTGTAAGCCATTATTTGGGCCACCAGATCTGCTAAAGCCATAGCAGCAAGGGTGTGCCCCAGGCTGGAGGGCTGACAGGTTTCATCCCTCTTCAAGATGGTTTTGAATTCAGAGTTGTCATCAGAGAGGTTGACATCTCAAGGCAATAGTGTCCAGTCTGCCCTGCTATTTAACCAATAGTTGGAGGGAGGTAGATTCAGCCAACTTAGACCCGCATGCCTGAAAAAAAAACAGAGTGTCAAAAGGAGAGTTTTTCCCTTGACACCGCTATTATTTTAACTCTTTGGCAATGCTTATTGTTTTAAAAAGCAGTGATTAGAATTTTAATAGAACTTCAACATATGATGAAAGTGAATTTATACATGTTTTTTTGTTGTTTTTTGAGAATTGGCAATACAAATATTAAACACTTTATTTATTTGATTATGTACAGGAATAATTTTATATTTACATTCTAAAACCTAATACAATTAAAACTAGTGCAAAGAAATATTTATCATTTACCAATTTAGAAAGAAATATGAAAACCCATTTTTTATTCATAAATTTATAAACTAAATTATTAAAATATGTGAACCATATATAAATCTTTATTATTTACCATTTTATAACATTTGAATCAATTGGTTATTTGCCAATGTTTTGCCAAAGTTTCTAATAAACAATCTCATAAATAAATAGTGTAAATAAACAATCTAATAGTTTTTATTATTTTTGTTATCAATTCTCAACAACAAAGAAAATGTATAAATTTACTTTCATATGTTTTTGTTTTATAACAATTCTAATCATCTGCTTTTTAAAACAATAAACATTACTGAGAAGTGAAGGTAGTTAAAATAATAGCAGTGTCAAGGAAAAAAAATGTTCTTTTGATTGTTTTTTGTGTGGGCATAAAGGTCCAAGTGAGTTGTGAATTTCTAAGGCATTAGTACACAGTAAACACAAGAGAATCAATTTGAATTTGAAATAGGCTCACCAACTTCACTGTCTATGCCACTAACCATTACATTATCCATGCCTCCCAAATGAGTGTATGCTAATGGCTTATTACTATTAGTCTTTCTGTAATACCAAATAAAATAAGAACTAAAATAATTATTCATGAAACCAAACAAGTGTGAGGCACCTGGTGAGGATCAAATTCATTGTAGTGTTAATATTAGTTTCTCATACAGAAACATTTAGCAATTATTGGCCAAACAGCCAGTGCTACTTTCAGTTGAAATTTATAAAATCTTTCTCTTAAAATAATTTTTCAGTAAAATACGTTTCTCAAGTCCAGCAACTGTTATTGCTCTTTCCAGTACTGATGATGGTTTCCTTCCTAACCTTTTGTTTGAAGTAGTGTGGAACATCAACATTTTGATTATGTCATTATTTTCTCATTTTGTTAAATGTGCTTTCCATTTCATTTGTTGCTACTGCTGAAAGTCCTCAAGTAATGTGGTTTCTATTATTTGATACAATTCTTTTTGATTCTCTAGCACCGGTCCAAAATTCAAAGAAGAACAATCCTTTTTAAGACCTATAGATTTCATATGCTCAAAGGCATTTTTATTCATTGATCTGAGAAAGTATTTTTTTATTGATTGATTTTTTTTGTTTTTGTTTTTGTTTTTTTTATAAGTTATTTAAAGCCAGCAAATATTCTTAGATTGTAAAATTATGGGGAGATAATGATTTACTGATACAGGTCCTACTAATTTACCCATAGCTGGAGGAGAGAAGAGGTGGATGCATATATTTCCACATTAGTGAACATGACGAACCCAACTGGAATTGGAACTTGACTCTCTGATTTCCAATCCTAAGCCATTATCCACTACACCACCTTGCAATCTAAGCTTGCAGCACCTGATATTCCCAAGCAGTTACCCATTTATGTACTGGCCAGGTTCAATGTTGCTTAAGTGGTTATATACAGATGACAGTTTAGATATTTCTGAATGGTTCAAGTGCCATGCATGACATCCATATGAAAATCTCGATCTGACAAGGCAGTTTAAGAACAAGACTCGAGTTCTTAGACTCTCAGCTTGGCTAGCTTGTAAAATTGCTAGGTCAGCTGCTAAGAAAATCAGTTCACTGTGTTATGCTAGAAAATTTTTCTTCCCAGAATCCAGCTTACATATCTATAAGTCTACCATTTGCACATGCTTAGAATATTGCTGCCAGATATGATCCAGTGTTCTTGCTATTTACTTAGAACTCCTTCATAAAATCTAAAGAAGAATCAGAAATATTATTAGCCTGGATCTGGTGTCTTGGTTTCAGTCACTTTCTCACTGCTGAAAAGTTGCTTCCCTGTGATTTTTCTTTAAATACTTTCATGGTAATTGTTCAGAACAACTATTCACTATGGTACCTAGACTTTATGAATTTAAGTGCTGTACTAGATTGGCTGCTCAGTCTCATCCATTCACAGTCGAATTGGCTAGATGTAACCATAAGTTATATTACTTGTGGAACTCTCTTCTGGCTCCATGCTTTCCAGCCAACTTTGATCTTCAAAATTTTAATGCAATGTCAATCTACTGTCTTCCTAATTACTCTTCTATTGTTCCCACTCCTTCATAATGTTTTCTAATTCTTTCACCCCCTTGTGTCTTAGTAACTTTACTACCTTGCTTAGGGTGAATTTGATTTAAAAAAATAAAATAAAACATTGATCCATCATAATGTACTTAAATGACAATTGCCCAAGTGACAACAAGAATAATTGTGCAGAATCTTGAGATAGTTGTACAATCTGATTGCAATTCTGATTGCTATCCATAGAAATTGCAATTGTTGCATCTGAAATAATTCATCCATCAAATATTAAATTCTGGTTTGGTTAATTCAATTTCTTCTCTCTGAAGTAATTTGGTATTTGGTTTTTTTAAAACATCAAAGAACCAAGTGAATGTTGCACGCTTTTACAAGTGTATAGCATATGACTGGTGAATATTAATTAACTCATTTGCAGACTAAAATGTAATGGATAGTATTTTTAGGCACTTAACATTTTCTTGTTAAATAAAATTAGTTCGCTGTTCAAGATTGGTACATATGAACCTGAAAAAGAATTCAAAAGAAAGAAAAAAATTTTTTCTTTCCTTTCAGCAAGGATTTCAGAATTTTCTAAAAGAAAGAATCTTCTTCTATGTACCATATTCCTTCAGGAGATTGGTGATCATAGCTCTCCACAATTTTCCGTCCTTTATAGCTCTCAAATTTTGTCTTTTTGCTCCCTACTCCTCCAACCTGTTCCCCCATCTATTTACTTAGACTCTCCAGGTAGATTGATTGGTTGTTTTGGTTTAGTGATATATCAACATGTCTATGGGTTATTTAATGCCAAAATGTAAATATCTTGTATGCAATTTTTTTTGAGATAATAATGGTTTTAGTGATACACGTCTTACTAATTAATCCATAGCAGGGGTGAGAAGAGGTGGATTCATATCTTTCACATAGTTATTTGCATGTAAGTGAATATAATAAACCCAACCGAAATTGGAACTCAGCTCTCGAATTAACAATTCCGAGCCATTATACATTATCCCACCTGCAAATCCAAACTTACAGCACCTGCTATTCCCAAGCAGTCACCCATTTGGGTACTGACCAGGCTCAATGTTGCTTAATTTTGGTGATTGTATAAGAACTAGTGTTCCAACGTGATGCGGCCGTAAGTGTTTCTAGCCTTCAATCTGTGCTGTGAGTATTAAATTTTCCAAGCCTGCTTTCCTCATTATGTGCTCTAGAAATTTCACCTGTCTCTCCCTAATGTTGAGTATAATTTTCCTCTTTGTTTCTATTTTCTATAAAACTTGGTTACTGTTCAGTTTATTGTATTCTCAACATCCTTTTATCCAAAAAAAAAAAAAAAAAAAAAGCATTTTTGTAGTATCTTTCTTCTTTAACAAGTTTACTGCCAAATATCTTTTTTTTTTAACATTATGGTACCAATATTATGTACCCTTATGACATAAATTGTTACTCCTATGTTGGACTTGGCTTGTATTAAAAAAAAAAAAAAACATTGATAAAAATAAAATGATTAATTTCATGTTTAAACTAATTTTATTTTGATACAAGTCAACCAATATATGTAAAAGAATATCTAATTAACATATTCTATACATAAATGTGCTGAACTATTTTAATAATTTAAATATTGTAAAACATGAATCTTGATATCAGGCTACCTTACATATACAGGGTGCGATGGGTAAATTGTCGCCACTTTATATTTTTAGTTTTTTGCATGCGCATTGTTCTTGATTTTGTCAGCTGCACAGTATTGTAAGGCCAGTTGGGCAAAAATCTGTGAGAGAGAAAAAAAAAAAAAAAGAAGCACCATCACACAATTCACTATGCCAGAAATTTGCAAATGGCATGCTGTATTGCTTGGCATTCATACTGGAAGCTCAAATACGAACATTTTAGAGTGTTTGTGTGTCAATCTGAAGACAGTGCAAAGGATTTGGAAAGAGTTCAATGAGTCTCATGGTGATTATGAAGATATTTGATCACTAGTGACGGGGATGTTATGCTTCCATTCTTCCCACAGGGCAACAGACTCATCACAGAGGCCTACATCAAATGCCTTGAGGAGGTAGTGCTTCTCTGGATCAAGAGGGTGGTTGCTGCTATATCTGCATTGTGTCACACAAGCAGGAGAACTGAGTCATGGCTGTCAGACAATTTCTGCAACCACATCACCCCCTTACATCTGGCCACCTAAATCCCCAGATTGCAACCTCCTTTATTATTAAGTGTGGGGCACAGTTACACGATACACCAACAAAACTCCTTGTAACACCAAAGATGAACTGAAAGCAATGATTATGGCAGCATTCACCAACAAGGAGACTTCTCTAGAAGAGTTGCAGAAGATTCTGAAGTCATCTGAAATCTGTGGTTGAAGCTTATGGGGATTTTATTGAATAGTATTATTTAGTATTTAAGTATTTAGTATTTCAAGATGTGTTTGTGTAATTTTGGTAAATATGTCTGTTAAAATGAGATGTCGGTGTTATTTGCATTTTTGCATCATTTAGACGACAATTTATCTATCGCATCCTGTATATTTCCTGATAACCATTATGCCACCGACATATCCAAATTAATGTTGGACATGTGCAAAAGTTTCCAGCATTGATGTTTTTTTGTTTAACCAATTATTCCAACTGTGTATTCAAACTCTAATTAAAAAAAAAAAGTGCTGGGAATTTTTGCACAGACCTAATATTGATACTTGCTGAATAACATTAAGCTTATTCTCAATGGTTTATCACACTATCATGCCAACTATTGCATAACCATGTGTATTCATTTTATATTTGTGTTCGAGAAGCTTGTCTCCCACATATTACAGTCATGATAATAATGTTCTCTGGGAGAGTTCTCGACTTTATGTGCTGTCTCTGGCATTGAGAGGGTTAATAAATATACAATAATTCCAAATCTATTTCTTACCAAATTGAAAATGATCACACCCACTGCCAGTCATTGTCAGAACATATTTGTGTTTATTGCATTAGTTGAAAAACAATGATTCGCTTTGAGCCAATTGGAGAACAGCAGAACTGTCTCCCTGCTTTGCTAAGTGCCACCTTGATCACTTTCAATATCCTTAGAACCTGTTCAATATGGCTGCCTACACATTGTTCACCACTGAGGTCCAGTCACAACAACAACATTGGCTACGTAGATCTGCTTGGGGGAAGCAATAAATTCCATCATTGTTGAAGACATCATTTTATGAACAGAGTATATGATGGTGCCAACTTATGTGGAAGTTAGCTCACCTCTGCTGTTGAGCTTCTGTTTCAGTTGCCGTGGAGACCGATTTTTGGTGCTGCCTTCACAATGCACCAAAGCAGCCATCTTTGGCCGAGTGCATCAGTGAAAATTTATTCAAATTAGGTAACAGCAAAAATTTATTTACCAACTTTCAGAATGTATTATGCCTTCTTTTATTTAATAGAGGAGAGAATGTCCATCAGAATAAAATATGGATGCATGAAATGACAATAATCTGTCCATGAGAACTTTGTTATATGCATGCTATAAAAGAAAATGTATACTCTTAAGTACGGAATAGAAGAGCAGGTTTGAATAAAAGGGTAAATGGGAAAATTAATTCAAATTGCTTTTTTTTGGCAGGGAGCAAAAATGGAAGGAGAGAAGGTTGAAATAAACAGACAGGTTGGGAAAAAGTATAGAATAAACAGGGGGCTTGGAATAAAAGTGGGTAATTTGGGAGGAAAATGAAGCAAAAAAAAAAAAAAAAAGAAGAAATCAAAATTTATTTAGCTGGGCAGGCTTATCTTTCTCAGACATGAGAGTACATCATTTATTCAAGAACATGTTTTAGTTTTCCTCAACACAATAACAGGTATTTATGGCTTTGACTGGTGCCATAAGACAATTCTTCTTCGTGCCTTATCAACTAACATTACATAATCACAAAGAACTGTACCAAATAAAAGAAATATCAATCTCATTGGGTTATTTAATGCCAACAACTTTTTTTCCTGGTAATATTTTGTTTTGTCAAAAATCTATTTCTGGTAATACTTTTTAACTCAAAAATGTATAGTTGATAATATTATTTTAAAACATGTATTGCTGGTAATATTTTTTTCTTCAAAAATTTATTTCTGGTAACAATTCTTTTACAGAGTATCTCTGGTATTAAAACCTATTTTTACACTTTTATAATGCTTTTTACGTTAGTTTTGGTGTTAACTATTTGCCCATGGCTGGGACCCTAACAGGTGCTACCACCCCGGGTCAGGGTGGACCTGGGAACACCAACAATTAAGAGGTGGTTTTACACTCTTCAAAACCTCCTGATCAGAGGCATTGCTGTTGGATGTAGTTTATCGTCTTACCCAGGACGCGGATGTAGTTTATTGTCATACCCAGGACAGAGAATAAAAGGTTAGAAAGAAAACTGCCATCAATAGTTGAAAGAGCAATAACAGCTACTACACTTGAGAAACCTATTTTTTTGAAGAACTGTTTTAAAAGAAAGATTTTATAAATTTCAACTGAAAGTAGCAATGGCAGCTCAGTCAATGAATATCAAATATTTCCATATAACGAAGTAGCTAATATTATCATTACCATTAGAGAGAACGGATAATGCACTTTGATCCCAGCCCAGGAGCCAGGGAGGGAAGAAAAGTGTAACTCGAGTAGTACTGACTGCTTAGTCAATAAATTCCAGATGTTTCCTTATAAGGAAATAGCTAATTATACATTTAACTCATTTATTGGAAAAAAAAACAAAAAAACTTGAGCAATTACTATGAAATGAAATTATTTTCTACTAAATGATAATTTATAATGAATGGATGCTCCAATGTTCACACTGAAGTTAAGCAGTGTTGAATCTGGTCAGTACCTAGAAGAGGTACCCATTAGGAACACCAGGTACTGTAAGTAACCTCCTACAATCAGAAATAGGTTTTGGTTTTAAATAACTCATAAAGGGTTAAATCATAAAAATAAATCAATCTACACAAAGCCAGAGAAAGAGTGATTGACTGACTGATTTGTTTTTTTACAACTTATCAGTCCTTCACAGACTATTTTAAGCCAGAGAATATTTTTTTTAGTTTGCAAGAATGACTTTTTTTTTTTTTTTTTTGGAGATAATGATTTAGTAATAGAAGTCTTACTAATTAACCCATATCTGGGGGATGAAAAGATGTATTCGTACCTTTCCCAGGGTTATTTGCACATGAGTGAATGAAACGAATGGGGAAATGAAACTTTACTCTCCGATTAACAATTCCAAGCAATTATCCATTCCACTACCCATACATCCAAGCTGGTATTCCAAAGTGGTCACTCATCTAGTTATTGACCAGACTCGACATTGCTTAACATTGATGATTGTACAGGAACTGGTGTTTCAATGCTATATGCTCATAAGCTGGATCAGAAAGGGAAGGCAGGGTACAATAAGATGTGTGCCTAATTTTTTTTTTTCTCTGTTATTTTGGTTCTAAGCAAGCAAGCAGGATGTATAATATTATATTCTAGAGATTTCTTCCTATTGTGATGATAAAAGCACATTGGGGTAAAAAACAAAAAAAACAGACTTTAGACCAAGTTTATCTGTTAGGCTTTAGAAAGCAAAAAGAAATAATTGCCGTGTTTTTGCTGTTGTAATGAATAAGTGATAAATAATCTTGTCTGAGTGATCCACTTGCAGTCAAGAGAAATCGGAAGTAAGAAGGAAGGAAGAACTTTTTCTTTTTTTTTAAATTATTCTTCCAATATGGCATTTGCATGTAGAGAAGAAGTGTTTGAATGATGAGACAATCTTTCATTTGTTATACTTGCATAAACAAATATGAATATATTCCAGAAGGAAAAAAGCAAAGGAAAAAATATGCCAAAGACATGCTCCCCTACCATCCCAATGGGAAATATTACAAAAGTGTTTGTTTGAACATCAAAACAGAATTAAAAAAAAAAAAAATTTGAGGGTGAGGAATGATTTACCAGCTGATTGTCAGGAATATGGGATTGTCAGAAAAGTAAATGAAATTTTATAATGGAACCAATATAAGAGGATTTTAATTGAACAAAACTGTTCTTTTGTATTTTTAACACCTGACAAAAAAAAGAGTAAGCAATGAAATTAGACAATTTTCAAGAAGCACAAGA